GTCGTTTTTGACAAGGACGGCGGGGGTGCTGGCATATTGCCTGCTGTGCGCAGGCCCAGCAGGCACCATAATGGCCTTCCCGCCGCGATTGTGCATTGGTCTTCGACGAGGGTGGTGGGGGCCGACACGTTCCCCAATGTGTGCTGTCGCGTGCACATCCTGCGCACCTGGCACATCCTGCGCGTGACCCGAACGTGGCACACCTGGTGCGGCTGGACCATGCGGCACACATGGCGCACTTGGAGCACGTGGCGCATCTGGCGTGCCAGGCGTGCCTGGCACGCTTGGACCCCAGGGGTGCCTGGCGCACCTGGCGCGCCTGGCACGCGTGGCGCACCCCAGCGTCGCACACATGGACTGTGTATTGGTTTCCAGTAGCTGCCCATCCATAGACGACCGCTGAACATGCTGAGGCTCGGGTGCTACTTATGTGTTGGGAGGGCGGGTGGGAGTGAGAGAGACAGCTTGCAGTCGGGGAGGGTGCCTAGACTCCTCCCCCTCCCCCTCCCCGCCCCCCCCTGGGTTTGGATCGGGGGGTTCGCGAGGAGTCGGAGCGTCCGAGATGGCCTCGGCGAGGAAATCGAACTCATTGATATTACTAAGGTTTTGGCCGCATGTTGGCCTCTAGGGGGGACCTAATGGGGGAGCTCCCCTCCTTTGATCGATCTCCTTCAAGATGGCCCCTAGATGGCCCTCAGGGCTCTCAAGGGTGCCCCAAGATGGTTCCAAGGGGTGTCAAGGAGGCTCCAAGAGTCCCCCAAGAGGCCCCCAAGCTGCTCCCAATAGGCCCCCAAGGGGCTCTCAAGAGACCCCCAAGGCGCCCCAAGAGGCCCCCCAGAGGCACCCAAGACGCCCCTCCTGGGGGGGGGGGACTCTGACTAAGGAGCCCCCCTCCGTTGAACGATTTCCTCCAAGATGGCCCCCGAGGATCCCAAGAGTGCCCTAAGAGGGCCCTAAGAGGCACCCAGAAGGCCCCAAGGGGCCCCCAGGAGGCCCCCAATAGGGCCCCATGAGGGCCCCAAGAGGCCCTCCTGAGGCACCCAAGACGCCCAGAGAGGCCTCGGCGAAAAGGCCAACATCATTGAGTTGACGATGGTGCTGGCAACATGTTGGCATTCTGATGGGGTGGGCTCCGAGTAAGGAGCCCCCTGCCACAAGATACCCCCAACAGACTCCCAAAAGACCCCCAAGAGGGTCCGAGCGGCCTCCCAAAGGCACTAAAACGCCCTAGAGGCCTTCGGGACTTCCAAGAGACCCCCAACACGTCCCAGGAGGACACCAAGAAACTTTCGAGCGAAGTCTGAAGAGACTCCGAGAGGCATCCAAGAGGCCTCTGGCCTTTCTGCAGAGGCCTCTGGCCTTTCTGCTCGACCTCCTCCTCCTCCTCCTCCTCCTCCTCCTCTTCCTACTCCCCTGCGTCCTCATCCTCATCCTGATGTTCCTCCTCCTCCGCATCACCATCATCATCACCATCACCATCACCATCACCATCACCATCATCATCATCATCATCAGCATCACCATCATCACCATCACCATCACCATCACCATCACCACCATCATCATCACCATCATCATTAGCATCACCATTATCATCATCATCATCATCATCATCATCATCATCATCATCATCATCATCCGCCTGTTCCTCCTCCTTCCTCGTCCCTCCTCCCCTCACCCTCTCCCTCCTCCCCTCCGCCTCCTCCTCCTTTCCGCCTCCGATTCCTGCTCCATCCTCTCCCTCGTGGGAGACGACGTCTTACCCAACCCTTGATGTTGGGACGCACACGGACATACTAGTACTATGCGTCCTCCTTGGAGGCGTAACATATAATATAAACATTGTGTGGTGTATTGTTTCCCGAGCGGTATGGCCAGAGAGCGCCCACCACGACGCATATACCATAAGATGCCTCGGTGCGCGCGTCGCCCCGGGGGGGGGGTGGAGGCGACGCACATATAGTAAAAAACCATTGGGGCGACGCCGGTTTAATTCACGCATTCTACCCCACATCCCTAATCAGGGCAATTCGCCTGGGCATCTCTTCTGGATGGGCTGGCGGGGATACTTTTTTGGCCGGCGGCTCCAAGACAAGGGTCAGGAAGCGGGAAAAACGGCTGGGGCACATGCCGTAGATTATTGGCCAAAGCAGCGCGTAAGCCGCAAAGGCGAATGCACGCGCGAGGGACAAAATGACCCTCATTAGAGGTGATGCAAGGGACAGATGACCCTAATTGAGCATGGCGAACTGCTGTGGACGTCCCGACGGGTTGAGACGCCACGCCGCGACGCACCGCGGAAACAGCGTCCAGCGTGTGGAATACTTACCACACGACGCGGCGAGCGACGGCAACAGCTGTACGGCTAGCCGTGTGTACTGTAGCAGCGCGGGGAAGTCGCCCTGTCGGCGCCGAACTCCGGCCGATACACACGGAAGCGAGGCGAAGAGGAAAGCGGGAGAGCCGCTGCGGACGCCAGACGAGCACCCAGCGACAGAAAGAGAAGGGCAGGCGGCGCAGAGGGGGCCTCACCATGACTCACTGTCGCAGACCTCGGGTATGCCCGCCCTGGACCCAGTCAGTGAACATGAGGTAACGCCACTTCCAGCCTGTAGCCAGTGCGTTCACAACTTACCCGACTCTCGCAGGTCGGGGGCACGACGTGCAAGCGCTGACTGAGGCAAATGCGAGATGGGCCAGCTGGGAAAGCAGCCGTGACATGCCGAAGGATGAACCACTCGACAGGAACACTCCCTTACCAGGCCCGTCATCAGGTAGCACCGGAAGCGAGGTTAGAGGACACGCCTATCTCCACCTTAACGAAGCCAAAGCGACGTCCTTGTGGTAGCGCCATGGGCCGTGCCATGTAATTCAGGGCGATACGCAGGTGGGGGTGGCACTGCCTGCCGCTGTGGCGGTGCCCACGGGGAAGGGCTGATCCCACTCCAAAGCGTCATCACGACAGCGTTTGCAGGCTGGCGGCCAGCCGGTAGTGGGCTGGTGGGGTTACGCGAAGGATCTACAATTGTTTACTTTTGATAAACGAATGCGCCCGCATATTGTTAGACGAGGACGAGGGAGAATGTGGATACGGGCTTGGCTAGGATGGTACGAGAGGCACACTTAGAATGAACGATGGGGCAACATCATAGGTAAACTGCACATCCCAAGGGGGGATAGATGATTCCGGCCTCGGGGGGGTGGTAGATCCGAATGCTTTCAAAGGGGGATCGACATATACATATATATATATATATATATATATATATATATATATATAACAAAAAACAATGCAGAGCAACGCAAAGCAAAGGCAACACAATGCCAAACAATGCAAAACAAGCAGGTGCAACATATGTGGTGCCATGTGTGTGGTGCAACCTATGTTGTAAAATCTGTGTGGTGGAAGCTGTGGTGATGCCAAGCGGGCGGCGACGCAAGGGGGCGGCGACGAGGCCTCGACGGCGGCCACATGGCAGCCAGAGCGGCCCGCCAGCCCAAGCGACGGGCGGCGACAGGCGGCGACGAGGCGGCGACGGCGGCCACATGGCGGCCACAGCGGCCCGCAGGCCCAGTTCCTTAGAAGACAAGTAAGGACTAATAAGTCACTAAGTGCAAGCACTGTTTGGAAAAGTATTTAAGACATGTGAGAAACAAAACGCGGAGAGAACCGAACATCTTCCGGACAGTTGCAGGGGAAACAGGATAATACGATTCAGAATGTGACGATGTAGAATGGAGAGGGTGGAAGGGAAGGAGGGAGGGGTGGTAAAAGGCGAGAGGCAGGAAGAGGGAACCAGGGAGGGGAGGGAGCGAGCGGAAGGGAAGGACAAGGAGGAGGGCAAGCTTGCCTAATGAATTCTCGGCCCGTCTTGGCGCTCTCTGCGGGCCGTCTCGGGCTCCTGGGCTGCGTTGGGACTCATTGGGCAATGTTGGAGCCCTTCTGGATCTGTCTTGTGCCGGCTTGACACACTTGCTGCGCAACCCGAAACCGTGCGAGCCCTTCCTCGAGCAATTCTGGGCCGATAAAACCGAGACAAACACAAGCCGTCGAAACCAAACTCTGTTTCACATGTTGTTGCTGGCGCCTCTTCGGACCGCTCGTGGGGCCTCCCGTGCGTTTCGACAAGGTCTGGTTTCATGACGTATATTGGGCCATCTTGGGACCTTCTAGAAGGCGCCGTAGGAAGCACACGGGACCCTGGGGGCCTCCAGGCCTCGTTCGTTCGAGTACGCGCTGCGCCTTGCACTATGGCATTACATGGCAGATGACGACATCTGGATCCAACTTCGCCAGCCGCGTCTCCCGGAGTAGCACCCCGAGCCCTCCAGATGGCCCCCAGAGTTCCTAGATGGAGTTGATGATGCTGATTCGGCAAATCGGGATACATGAGAATTTCTGACCAGTGCCTTACCGCATAAGTCCCCCAGGGTATTCGAGTCCATCCGCGGTTGGGCATGCAGCACTGACCATAGCGCACCAGGGTATCTGATTGAAGGGAGATGGAGGCGTCTGACATGTGAGTACAAACAGAGCATCGCACACGCACACACACACAAACACACACACACACTCGCGCGTGCACACGCGCCCGAACACAACTACGAGCGCGCACGGGTTCGCGCGCACTCACACGCACGTGCACGCTCTTGTCCATGAAGTCACGCATGCGCGCACGCACATGCACAGGAACAGGCGCACACTTTCATATCACAGATACACGCAAGCCAGAACCCACACACACACACACACACAGCATACACAGCAGACTGCAAACAACACCTTGTAAGCCCGCCGGCGGAATGACACCACAATCGCTATCTATACTAAGACGGACTACGACAGCACACAACGCACGCGCGTGCCAGATCACGCCAATCCGTCACCCTGCCGTTCTGACATTGAGCGCAACGTCGCCAGGTCCCTTGTTGGTGTGGACAGGGGATTATTAACCTTGTGGCCAAACACGACTGGTTTCCTCCCAAAGGCCCTGGCTCGCCTTTGAAGGCGGCCAGGTTCCCGACCGTGTTCGAGCCTGCGTCCAGCCACCGTTTGCAATCGCACCTAACGGCGGCGACGACGACTGCGACGACGACGCTGGGGGGCCCGCCCTCCTTTTCAGGTTAAAGCGGAAAGAACGCTGCGGAACTACCACCCCTGCAGGCAGAAGCAGCAGCAGGAGGAAGGGAGGAGGCTGGCTGGTGGCCACTGTGGGCATCCTTTGAGGGCTGCAGGGACAGCACCTCGAGGGCAGCCTGGAGGTGAACCAGCCGCGGCCTGACCTCAGTCGGCTCCCACATCCGCGCACAGGGGACAACAGCTCCGGTGGAAGGAGGGGCCCCCCCACCTCCCTGGCGATCTCCAGGGATAGCAGGGGAGGAGGGCACCCCACCTTGCACCAGGGGTTTCCCCAGCGAGCGCATGTGAGTGCGGACAGGGAGCTGTAAAAGGGATCTGCCCTGGGGTCAACCATCCAGTCCTTGCAAGGCATACCGCAGTCTGCCAGCGTGGGTGGTGGAGACCATCCGGATCCGCTCCCAACCCCCGCCCCCGACCCACCTCCGCGGCCTCAGTCCTACCTGATCCCCTTGGGGCCAGGGCGCACTGAGCAGCCGGAGACGGCAGGGCGAGGGCGAAGGCGGCTGAGTCTGGACGGAGGAGTGGACGGGGAGCCTTGGAAACTTTTTCGCTCCCAGCTCCCATCAGGTGGGAGAACCCTGCACCCCCTGAGATGGGGAGGGGCTAGGAAGATCTGGGGATCCTCAACGCACTCTTCCCTTCCAGACAATACGGAGGGAGGGGGGGCGCAAGGACGACAGGGGAGGGAGGGAAAGGGGGGGGGGACGGACAGAAGAGGGCAGAACCCCGAACCAAGCCCCCCCCCGGAGCCGAGACGCAGTTTTCCCTGCCGCACCCCGTCGTGGCAACGAGAGTGCCCCCCAGGGGCCACCGCCCCAGGAAACCAACACAGCGCAGCAGGGGGGAGGGAGGACAAAGACGAAGACGGGGACGAGGAGGAAGAGAGCAAGGGAAGCAGGAGCAGGGACGAGGGGGGAAAGAGAGAGGAGGAAACAAGAAGCGCAGGAGGGCGACGATAGGACGCCCCGGGGGTGCATCTTCACGCAGCCTCCCTGGCAGGGGAGAAAAGGAGGGCGGGGAGAGAAACGGGGAGTGCCGGGTCGCACTTTCCAAGGGGCTCCGCCCCAGAACTCCGTGGCACTAGAGTCCAGAGCACCTGCCCACTCTGCCAGCTGCTGGTAGCCCGGCGACCCCAGTTCGGCCCCCAGGGAGGCCCCTGGCTCCGCGCCCGCGCCCACCCCTGGGGCCTGGCCGAAGGCTGCGCGCCCCTCTGTCCATGCGCCGCACACATTGAGAGCATGGGAGAGGCCCTCTTCTGGAGCCAAGGTGGCCTCGCAGAAATGCAGTACTGCAGCCTAGCCCATGGGCGCCTGCGGTTGCGGTGCGTGAGGGTCAGGAGGCCCGCGCGGAGGCGCGAAACAGACCGCTGAGCACGCAGACGCGAGGTAGGGAGCCCAAGGGCGTAGCCCTTGGTAAGATCCTGGCTCACACACGGCCGCAGCTGGACGTAGGAGTGGCCGTCCAGGGCTTGCGCACGGGCAGCAAGACAGCGTCCTGTGATGACCGTCTTTGCGTATGCCTTGTATGCTGCCAGGGGGCCCGCGCACCGTGCCTTCCAGATTGGCCAGTCCTCCACTCCCCAGTCCTGCAACAGGCAGAGCGATGCCCTGGCCCAGGAGGGGTGGCCAGCCGCCTGCGACCCACGAAAGACCGCGCCATACAGGTCGTCCTCAGGCAATGCCCAGAGTGTGGCCCTGCGCGCAGCAACATTTACCGCAGCGCGGCCCGCTCCCGAGAGAGGGCACCCCAGCTCCGACGCAGCCACCATCGCATTCCTCCACGGCGGGGCACCAATGAAGGACCGCGCCCAACCCTCGTAGGCTGCATTCAGGACCTCGGAGGCGCCAGGGGCCACAGCCAGCAGCCACCCACCAAAGCGAAAGGAGCCTTCTATAACCATCTCGAAAGTGGCCATGGCCACCGCGAGGGGCACTCCCCCATTTGCCACCAAGCCCGCCAGGCTGGCGCACTGTGCTCCTGCTGCCACAAGCCGCTGGTTGAGGAGGGACAAGAAGTTCTGTTCGTGTTGCCAGCGGAGGCCCAGCCAGAGACGCTGCTCGACTGGGTGGATGGGCACCGGCGGGCGGCCCACCAAGCGCAGTTGGAGCATGGGCATGTTTGTGTTTCCCACAGGCCGCCGGGCCCCCCCGAAAAGCATTGCTGCATGCTTGGCCGGTTTCGTGTGCGGGGAGGCCCTGTACTTCCAAGACCAGGCCGCAATCACGTCCAGTGACGACTGCGCATTGCCCCAGGAGGATGCAAGAAGCAGGGGGTCATCAGCGTGAAAAACGGCCACCACCCGCCGCGGTGCGAGCTGGTCTAGCGCTTCCAGCGCCGAGGCTTCCAGGTCAGGCCAGGCCTCCAGAGCTGCAAGAGATGGCAGCAGCCTCCCTTGCTGAATGTCGGCCAGAAGCCGCCCCGTCAGGTCCTCTCTGGGCGCGCCTGCCCCCGTCCACGCGTGCCGCGCCCAGGCCGCAGGCATGTGGATGCCAAAGCCCACTCCGAGCCGCGCCTCTGCCAGAGTCCTCGCCAGCTCCTCCATGTAGACGGGGAAGGCCAGAGGGCCGATTGTGCCCCCCTCTGCGATCCCCTGGAAGATGGGGGTGGTGGAGCACCCACCCGTTGAAGGATACGTGAATACGGTCTTCGGCCAGCATGCTGTGCAGGAGAAAGAAGCATCCATCGCGCACGCCTGCCAACCTGTGTAAACTGCGCAGCAGACTTGACGCCACGTACGCGGGAATGCTTTCTGCAAGTCCCCAAATCGTGCAATCAGGGGGCGGCCGTGGTGCTCCGTTTCTGCCACGAGTTCGTGGAGCAGCAGATGTGCGTCCCCGTTGTCACGGATGCACCCGCTCTGGCCCGGAGTGATAGCTGCCCTAACTATGGGGCGCAAATGATTGCACAATACCCCTTCCTGGGGAAGACCCATCTGAGCTTTTATCACTATCAGTCTCAAGCTCTCGCCCTCATCTGGCGGCCCGTCTTTGTGGAGCTGCACTGCACTGCTGCCTCGCCAGGACGCCGGCCGAACAGCCAGGGCCCCGGGCCCTAGGAGGCGGATGCTGCGCCACAGTACCTCGTTCAAGGTGCCGTTCCCAAGCTGGAGGATGACGCGGGGGATCAAATCTGGCGTCGTAGCATCCTTGTGCCCCCACTCCGAGATCACATGTGCGACCTCTGCCTGCGTGATCGGGGCATCCATGGGGGTAGCGCCTCTGTGGGCGCGGGCAAAGCCCGCAAGACGCGGCACGATGTGATTGAGGTACTGGCCAAAGGCTTCGTCATACGGCCCCGGCCACTCGCTCTGCCGCCGTAGCTGCCTGCCCCACGCATGGAGGCTCTCAGCCGGGGACAGGAAGGCAGGCCCCTCCCGGAGGCACGGCGACGGCGTGACCTGGGGCGGGCGCATGTGGCGAGCTAAACTCGCCGCTGCTTCTGCTAGCGTCTCCACGCGTCCAGGCCCGAGGCGACAGGTGATATCCTCAGGGCCGGCGCGGCTATGCCCTGCCTGCTGCACGTGTCTTCGGCGACCTCTCTCTGGGGGCACAACCCAGCCTGACATAGCAAGGTGGATGATGAGCGCGAGATCCCAGGCAATTGTGTCAGCAAGCCACTGGCTGGTTCTGGCGTCTTAGCGCAAGATCATCTCTGCGTCGTCCAGAAGAAGAAGGGCTTTGTTGAGTTCCCGGAGACACGGCTCCGCCGCCGCTAAGCCCATTTTCCAGTTATCTGAATCTTGCCACCACCGCGGCATCCGTAGAGCCCCAAGCGCTTCGCACTGCCCAAGAGAATGTGCCTCGAGGGTGGTCTCAACTAGGAAATGGTCTCCCCGAGCGTATTCATGACACACCGGCCAGCGGCAAGCAGATCCAGAGCTACAGTGAATGGAGTTGTGGATCGTCGCTGGTCCTGCAATCCCCGGTGAGCCTAGAATAAAATCTAACGCACGGGGCTGGCCTGCACAATGGTGCGTGTGCCCTGGGCACAGCAGCAAGGTCTTCCGACGGAGGGGCAGGTGCACCCGGCTTGGGGGGCCATCCCCAACCATCGGGTTGCGGAGGACAAGACCACTGTCGGCGAGGAAAACCCCCCAGTGCGCTTCGCGGGAACGGCTCCTGTCCGGACCTCCCCCAAGGCACGCCGGCTGCATGTTGAAGTCCCCTAGGACCAGAACCGAGGTCTGGACTTTGCGCGCCTGCTGACGAAGGGTATCTAGATCATGGGCAAGACCATCCAGTTCCTCGTGCCAGACCTCGTCGGGCCCATGCTTCGGGACCGGCGGCAAATAAATACATGCTACGTGGAGTTTGCCCCGGCTTGTTTGTGTGTCCACCCAGAGCCGTCTGTCCGATCCAATGTCTGCGCGCGTGTGTATCAATGGCTGGAGGGCCTTGTCCCAAAGAACTGCCGCACTGGCATATGCTGGTCCTCCCCGCGCTGCAAGACCATACTTTGCACCCGCTCGCCCCGGCAGCTGCTGGGTAGCGCTAAGACGCGCTCCCGGGAGACAGACCATGCTGAGCTCTAGCTTGGTCATGGCTGTAAAAATCCCCGTCTCTGGGTTGTCGAATACCGACCAGCGCACAGTGCGGCCATCAATCCCCACACAGCCCAGTGTACTCGGAGAGCCCACGGCGATGCGCAGGGTGTGCCCAGGGCTGAGGGCAGATACATGGTCTGGGGCAAGGCCTGCATGATCTAGGGGAAGTGCAGCAAGGCGCATCCAGTCCAGGGCCTCTTCCAGAATGCCCACACCAGGAAGCAGCTCTGGGGTAAAAGTGGCCGCATCCCGGCTGCGTCGCAGGCGTCTGCCCTCTGTGTGTATGTGCTGGGCATCCGACCGCAAAAGTTCATCAGCTGCCCGGTCTCCTGAGGCTGCCGCTGGCGGGGCCTCTCGGCGACCACATCTGAGCGTCGCAAGC